CCGCCGCCATCGCGGGCCCCTCGGTCCGCTCCAGTCCGGTTCTTTCCGGTCCGATTCTTTCCGGTTCGATTCGTTCCGTTCCGTTCTGGTTCGGTTCGGTTCGGATCAGGTACGAGCGGAGCCGGGGTCCTCGCACTGCCCGAGCCGCCTCCTCCTCCCGGCTGCGTCGCTCCCTCCTCTCTTAAGGCCTCTCGTCCCCTCGCCGAGGCCTCTGGTCCTCTCCGGGCCCTCCCGTGCGGCCCCGTGTCCCCCCCCAGCCCCGGGCCCTGTCGCTGCCCCTCGGGTCCTTGTTTCTCCCCTTACACCCCCAGCTCCTCCCTCCCCCCTTCCCAGCCCTCTCCTCCTTTGTCCCCTCCTTAGGGCCCTTTCCCCTCTCCAACGTTGTCACTCCAGGTCTCGTCTCTCCCTTTTCCACCCCACAGCCTCTTTGTCCCCTTCCCTGCAGGCCTCTCCTCCTCACAACGTCCTTGTCTCCCACCCCAGGCCTGGTGTCCCCCGCCATGGCCCAACCCGCTGCTCCTGGCCCTGCTATGGCCCCTCCTGCCACTTCTTTTGCCCCCATCCTCCCGTGCCCCCATTCCCACGTGCTTCTTTCTCCAGCCCCCTTCGCTTCCCACATGGCCTCGTCCCTTTGCACCCGCCCTGGGTCATTTGGGCTCTTTTCTCCCTGCTGTTCCCCTTGGGACAGAGGTGGCACCACAGGTGCCCTGTGCTGGGGCCAGCCGGAGCCTTGGGGACTTATTGCCGGGTGGATCCGGCACCAAAATCATCACGGGAGCCCAGATTCTAGGGGACCACCTCAGGGCACCCCAAAGCAGTTCGACCTCCCGGGTTACATTGACTTTTGGCCCATCTTCTGTCCTCCTGTGACGGATAAATTCAGCGTCAGAAATAAACGTGGCTTTACTGGGTGCAAAAAACGAGGCCTTTCGTCTCTTCCTGCTGTGTATTATGATGGAAATTGTATTTTTTGGACTCTTTGCAATGCGTTCCAGGTGCTGGATGCTGACTCGTGGGGACGGCAGCTCCTGCTCTGGTCCTTTAACCGCTTACGCTCCAGCCCGGCGAGGATGGTGTTGGTGCCGAGGCAGCCTGCGGTGGTTCTGGTTAGTTAAGTGCTAAACACGCAGATTTCCTCATAGCACCTCACTAAAAACTCCAAAAACTGATTAAAAATGAGGGTGGCTGGAGGCTTGGGGTGCTGCTAATGAGTTGGAGAGCTTTGCACTTTACGTTTTTGGTGAAGAATCTGATGAGGGTTAAATTGGACACTTTATTCAGTGGTTTTGATATGAATCTGAGGGCTGGCAGATATTTTTCCAGCTTTCTGTGATTTCTGGGCAAAGCACTTAGGGGCGAGGCTTACAATGGCTCCTGTGCCATCGTAAGGAGCTGGATGTCCCCACGGATTCTCCGGGTTTTTATAGGGAACATTGTGCCCATATCGCTGGGATGGAGATGGGGAAGCAGCACCTCCGAATTCCTCACACACAGCAGCTCCCTCAATCGTTGACTACTCAAATGCTCCCCCTTTTTTCAAATAAAAAGGAATCTTGGTGAGATTTCTGCTTTTCTTTTTAGAGCAGTCGTGGCAGATAAGGTGATGGAGGAAACTGAAACTATGCAAGTCTAAACTAGACATTGTTGGTAGCTGTGATCTAACCATTGAGCAGAGCTCAATGTAGGACACAGGCAAGAGAAAACACAAGATATTCCAAAGAATTTAATCAGAGGTCATTAAACCAGAGGTTTAATGAGAGAAAATCAAAGATCATGGTGAGAAAATCACATTTCTCAAATTGTGTCATAGGGAGATGCATACACAGCCCTGTAACTGCTGCTAAAAACACAAGAATCTTTAGGCTTGGTTATAAAATGTCTTCCTCAAAGCATTAGAAGCTCAAAACTCAACTCTGGATGGCCTGATGGTACAAAACAGCAGGTCCCAAGGGACTGGTGGGCACAGAAGCCTCCACACACAGAAAACACCAGAGAAAAAAACCATCTCCTGCTCCTGCAATTCTTTTGCTTTGCAAGACTAATAGGACAAGAAACTAATATTGTTAAACAGTGCCAGGTATAAAAGAAGAAATTATCATGAATAAGACAAGTGGCCTTTTTTAACATGCTCAGTTTTCTAAGCAGAGCAATACTGGGAAAAAAAAAAATCATCCTAGGCCAGTTTGACCACAGTGGCTCTTAATAAAGAAAAGAAACTGCTGCTTAACTTTCATCAGCGCTTTATTTTTAAACCTGACTACTCTGTAGCTTGTCTTCCGGTAACAAATAAGACTATTTCTTCTTAGGGAATGCAATAGCTCAAAACTCAACTCTGGATGGCCTGATGGTACAAAACAGCAGGTCCCAAGGGACTGGTGGGCACAGAAGCCTCCACACACAGAAAACACCAGAGAAAAAAACCATCTCCTGCTCCTGCAATTCTTTTGCTTTGCAAGACTAATAGGACAAGAAACTAATATTGTTAAACAGTGCCAGGTATAAAAGAAGAAATTATCATGAATAAGACAACTGGCCTTTTTTAACATGCTCAGTTTTCTAAGCAGAGCAATACTGGGAAAAAAAAGCAGCCTAGGCCAGTTTGACCACAGTGGCTCTTAATAAAGAAAAGAAACTGCTGCTTAACTTTCATCAGCGCTTTATTTTTAAACCTGACTACTCTGTAGCTTGTCTTCCGGTAACAAATAAGACTATTTCTTTTTAGGGAATGCAATATTGTTGCATATGTGTTTTTTTTTTTTTCCTTTTTCTTCCTCTTTAGGTAAAATGGATACAGTAGAAAAGCGAGTCCACGCCTTTGTGCGAGTCAAACCGACAGCTGATTTTGCTCAGGACATGATCAAGTTTGGGCAAGACAACAAGGTAGAGAGAAAAAAGCTTGCAAGCATGAAAGGTTTGGGGGTTTGTTTCAGCTTTGCCCATGGAAATGCAGAATTCTTCATTCCTCAAGGCCACACACGTTGGGTCACGTTTTCCTGCTTGGTGCAGTCTGAACCTCATGATTTTGTTCCAGTGTCACTGTTTGTATCAAGTGCCACCATTTGTGTGATAAAGTCACTAAAAATCTTTTAAAAATGGGAGTTGGACTGATCCTGGAGGAATTCCCAGTGGTAAGCACTATTCCAACCAAAGAGGTCTCCTTGGGATGCAATTTCTGCCTCCCCTCAGGCAAGTTCCTTACTTTACCTTATAATCCCTGTGTTAATACTCATCTCTCTCATTTAATTACCAATTTCCCTGGACACCAAATCGCAAACATCACTGAAATGTAAACAGATGAGCTCAGCCATATTTCCCTCTTCTAGGACATCTAATACCACAAAACACCATTCAGATCAGTAAAGCAGCATCATTATTTCAGCTGCATTTGCTCCTTACTTCCAGATCTTCAGTGGGTGTCTTCATTTTTTTTGAGAAAATGGGTGCTGAAACCCTTCCTAGCTATCAGTCTTATCTTTGTTTCTCCGTTTGGTTGCAGAGCATAGATATTTACCTCAAAAAAGATGCCAAGCAAGGCGTTGTGAACAACAGGCAGACGGAGTGGTGCTTCCGGCTCGACGGGGTTCTTCACAACGCCTCCCAGGACCTGGCCTACGAGACCGTCGCTGAGAAACTGGTGTCTGAAGCTTTGAATGGCTATAATGGTAATTTGTTATTATTCTGAGGAAGAATTGTTGTTATTTTGATCAAAAATGGTTGTTATTTTGATCAAAAGTTGTTATTTTGATTATTTTGCCCGTCGGCGGAGGGTTGAGCGGAGGTGGAGATCCTCCTGAGGTCTCCTTTGAGGAATGCAGCTGTTCCCTCCTTCCCTCCTGAGCTGGTTCTTTTGCTGTGGAACTTTTCCAGGCACCATCATGTGCTACGGGCAAACAGGGGCCGGGAAAACGTACACGATGACGGGAACGACGGCGGACTACAGGCACCGAGGAATCATCCCCCGCGCGATCCAGCAGGTACCGGGGCCGGGATGAGAGCAGAGGATACAAGGAAAAGGCAAAGGCATCGTTGCATTTTTTCTCTTACCTGCCTATCTGCTATTGCTGGTAACCATGGCAGTGTATGGACACAGCAAAAGAGGTTTTATGTGCTTGCCACCAGCCCATTTCCTTTCATTTTAACTACCTGATGATCATTAAGGGCTTAAGGGAGCTTTAAAATACACTTTTTATATAAAAATACACATTTTATGACGCTGTGGCTTTGCGCAGTGATGCTAGTGATGTTTCAGGGCACGGGAGTGGTGTTGCTTTGAAGCACAGTGATCTGTGTCACTGTCCAGAGTCTCCTGCTGCTTTAGTGATATCTGCACGTGCCAGCACGTCGCTGTGCTTTGTGTTCATTTACAGAGCTTGTTCCTGTTTGCCTCTCTCTCACATCATACACCAGATGCTCCCCAAATGTAGGCGTGCCTCGTTCTTGCCTCAAAGGCCTGTTCTCAATAGCTTGCTTTCAATTAGCCATTTTTTCCTCTTGAGTAATCCTCTACCAGTTATATTTTTGCCACAAGTGCTATTAGGATAAAGTAAATTAGTCAGTATATGAAGAAGCCTTTTCATTATATGTTCAGGGAGGGCCAAGTCCTCTACATTTATGTTAATATTCCCACCCAACCATGCTATTTTAAAGATATAATGCTTCAAAAGTGTTTCTGAGATGATAATCTTAAGAAATCATATTTAAAGTGTTGTCTGCATCTGGTCAGCCCTCAGGCAACCACAACTGAGCAATTAGCTGCGTGCTAATTGCAGATGAATTTACGGCCATTCAGAAAGTCACAAATAGCTTCTCTGAAAGGCTGTAAATAGCTGATAGTTCTGTCTGTGAACTAAGATGCCAAGAGAAACCCCTTGATGTCTGTGCAGGTCCTCAAGGCGGCTGCACATTGCGCCGATCGATTCGTCACCGTGCGAGTGTCCTACCTGGAGATCTACAACGAGACCCTGTGTGACCTTCTGGCCACCGTGGCGAGCGGGGCCACCGGGGACGTGCCCTTGGCCGTGGTGGACTGCCCGGGGGGTGTTTATGTGAAGGGTTTGTCTATACATACAGTCAACCACGAGGAGGATGCTCTAAATCTCCTGTTTGAGGCAAGAAGAAACAACTGTTGCCCCTCGGGGGACTGTGACGTTTCCTGGCATGGCTGAGGGAAGAGGCAGGAGGCGGGTGGTGGGTCTGCTGGAGGGACATCCGACCCTCTCCGTTCTTCTTCCAGCAGGTGGAAGAACTGGTAGCTCTTTGTAGCTGGGATTCTTGCAAGGAAAATGCCCTTGGCACAGAGATTCTGCAGGATCCCCCTGGTGAATCCCTGGTTTTAGCGTTTGCCAGAGCCATTGCAGGAAGCCGGAATGGCAGAGCAAGCGATGGCAGCACAGCAGGGCTGAGACCCCAGCTCCTGGGGTTAGAAAGCACCAAGGTGTTGGGCATCAAGGGGGTTAGAAAGCACCAAGGTGTTGGGCATGAAGGGCATTTCCCTGTGCGGGAGCTTTGGCCGTTTCCTTTTCCACCTTGCAGATTGGCTGTCCAGCTCTGTACCGCGCTGGCAGCCCCACAGCCTTTCCAGCGACTGTTTTATTTTGTTTTCTGTTCCTGTAAACCATCATTACGAGCTCGTGGTTCTCCTCTGCGAGTTACCTGTGACAAATTTAGCCTTGGGGAGCTCTTTGGTTTCCCACTCATCGAGAAACTGAAACGGAGAGGGAGGTATCGCCTCGGAACGAGCCTTGTCTGGCTGTTCCTCAAAAAAAACCCTCAGTTCTGAGAGCTGAGCCTTGAAAGTGGAAATGCAGATAATGTGGTCTCGGCTTTTACCGTAACCCGTGGCCTTTACCAGCTGTGCTGCAATACACTTCAAAAATCTTCTGAGTAAGAAAGGGAGACAAACAAGAGCTCCTGCTTTCACCCAGTTGTATTGCGGTCTCCTTGCAGCATGAAATTGAATTATTTGCTTAATGGTGTGGATCTGTGATTTCTCCCTCATTCTACAGAATGTAATAATATGATCCTCAATTTTGCCTTCATTCGCAGGGTGAGACCAATAGAGTAATAGCAGAACATGCACTGAATAAAAATTCATCCAGATCCCACTGCATTTTTACTATCTATATTGAGGTAAGTGCTCCAGCAGTTTTTCTAGGGCCTCAAATGTCTGATGCTCATTAAATACCTGTATTTTTTAAGTCTATTTTAGTTTTGTCCAATGTTAAGTACAGTTTATATTCTCTCTTCCCCCCACCCCCAGTGTAATTTCAGAGTTTTGTCGGATGTCAAATGCTTGAACTCCAAAATCAACCTCATAGACCTGGCAGGCTCAGAGAGGCTGAGTAAAACTGGGGTAAGTCATGGAAGAAGAATCTGAGACCTTGGTGAAGAGCGTAGTAATGAGCACGGGGCAGCTGAAATGACAGGGTTTTCCCATAGCAGAATTCAGGCTCTTAATAAATAGGAAGCTGTGGCAAATCATAGGCCACATTAGCACATCAGAGAGCACTGGGTTCCTTGCAGGTGCTCTGTATCTTAGTTCTAAGTTGTACTTGACTCCTGTCCTTCAGTGCCTTCCAAGCTAACCCAGGTTCACAGCGTTCATGCCACATTATTGTTTGTCAGCAGAGAAAAAGGTCTGAGCAACCGGCTGTATTTGGGCAAAAACTCTCTGAGTTTTTCTCTTTTTTCCCCATGACCAAGTGTGAGCCCTTGGCTTCTAGTGCACAAAGTTTTGAAACCTTCCCACAACGCTAGGGCTCAGCAACGGAGACATTCCCAGGGCCCTGTGAAATTCTGTCTGGATCAAAACAGAAAGCCCATCAGCCCTGTGACAAACACATAATTTTCCTTTTTTGAGGGAAAGACAGTGATCCCGGTAGATTTTTAATGTAGAAAAGAAGGTCTCTGCAACCTTGTTTTCAAACTGGAAGGAGATTGGACTTTGCTGAATCTGAATTAGATCCTTGTCTTGGGGGTCAAGCAGAGCTGCCCCGTCAGGAAGAGACGTGCTCTGCTTTGTGGCTCGTTCCCAAACACCCGCTGTGAAGCTTTGCCTTCTGCTCTCCCTCGCAGTCTGAAGGGCAGGTTCTGAAGGAAGCCACCTACATCAACAAGTCCCTGTCGTTCCTCGAGCAGATCGTCATCGCCCTGAGCGACCCGAGGAGGGACCACGTCCCCTTCCGCCAGAGCAAGCTCACGCACGTCCTCAAGGACTCGCTCGGTGAGGACATTGGGCGACACCAGCCCCGGGGTGCATGGAAAACGCTGCGGTTTCAGCGAGCCTCTCGGGTCCTAATGGACAGGGTGACACGTGGCACTAATCGTTGGTCACAGGGCGGCTGCTTTTCCTCATCGCTCAAGCAGCAGGCGCAAAGACAGCACAAATGCACACACCGAGCAGCCCAACAGGGACACACTCGGCTTTTCTTAGTTAGAAAACTTAAAAACAACCTCCTGCCAACACCCCCTGGCACACGAGTCTTCTCAGATGGTTGTGCTTTGGCTGCAGATGATAAAGCCAAAGCTGTGGTGCCTCTGGCAACGCAGATGGGCAGCACACGCAGGTGGAGACTGCGGGGACTGAAACCATCAAAACTGAGGGGAGAGCTGAGGTATTTTGAGCCCAAAGCTTGCACTGCTCTTGGGAGAGATGTGACAAACTCCTGTTGGCTTCCCTGGTATTGGAGTTAGGCCAAGGCTTTTCAAATCCTCTGCTCTGATTTCATCCCGTTTCAGACTTTTACAGTTGTCACTTGCTGTCTTCTTGCCGCAGGGTCACCAGATGAGAAACACATCTGATCTTCATTCTTAAGTCATTTTATACCAACTATATGTGTGTATATATATATATATATATGCATATATATATATGCATGTATTTCTTGCATCTTTTATTTATTTTATTTTTTGGTGTCATTTCCAGGGGGAAACTGCAATACTGTCCTGGTGGCAAATATCTGTGGGGAAGCTGTGCACATGGACGAGACCGTAAGTGGAACCAGTTTCTACAGAACTGAGGTCTTGTCCCTGCTACTCTTGCAATTATGTTGGCCACAAAGAGATTTAAAGCAGAGTCTCTGTGGGGCTGTGGCAAGATTCCCAGAGGAGCATCCTGCCTAATTCTTCAGAAACATCTCAGAGACTTGGAGCACAAAGTGCTTTTGCCAGTCTGTCTGTGATGCCAGCAGGGGAGTAGTAACCTGCTCTACTCAGAAATGAGAAATGAGGATTAGAACAGGCTCAAGCAGCTAAAACCTAAGCACACTGGATACTGTTAATTATCACTGTGGTTCCGCTCTAAAAATGTGCTTTGAGTGGTGTATCACATAATTAAGTCAGTGGAATGGCTTCCAGCCAGGTTGGGATACTGGCAGCAGGAGAGCCTGCTAACAGTAACTCTTTTTAAGCCATGAAAAGATAAAATTAGTGAAAGCCTTGCTGTGTGAACCAGCCCACCTCAACCACTTCTGTCACACAGGGAATTGCCTTGCTGTTTGCCAAGGGAGAAGCTACACATAGCAAAAGAGTGTAAATACAGTCACGGGTTACGCAGTCGTCTTTGAGGCACTGGCTTTATCATCTTCTACTCTGGTTCTGATATTATCTACAAAACAGAGGCTCCACTTTGTATTCAGAGGAGGATTTTCAGGCTGAACTGGCTCAGGATATCACAAGAATCGGGCCTGAAAGCCACTGGTATGTGGTTCCAAATTATTATAAGTATTATTTTGATGCGAAAGGGTGTGATCGCTTCTGAGATCACGGCCCTGTTGCACAAAGAGCTGCCACGTGCATAGCAGAAAAGACAAAAACATCATTTGAAGCTACCTAATCACCTGGAAGCAGATAAGCAGGAGAGGACACACTGCAGGAGTGAGAAATCCTCCCTGTCATTAAATAGCTTTTGTATTTCTACCTAGTAGCCTGCGATGTGAATAGCAACGGATTATAAAAATTATACCTTTGTCAGGATTTCTTTTAATTAGTGTATACGTATGTTTTTCAGTTGTCCTCTCTTCGTTTTGCTACCAGAATGAAATGGATCACAACAGAACCAGTTGTCAATGAGACATGTGACACATGGGTAGGTAGAGGAGGGGATTGGAAGATTTATTTTCTCAGGTTCATTCATATTTAGGCTAATGACCTTAAAAATCTGAGGGAGATGCTGCAATTTAATGAGTTACAACCCCTCAGCCGAGGTGACATTCCTTGGATGCGAGCGTGTAATGAAAAGAAGATTAGTATTAACCTTTTAATTGGGATTTATTTGGAATTACTGGGAGTGTGCTACAGGGTACAGTCGTACAGGGGGTTCCACTTTTCCTGGAACATGGAGATCCTTAAACTGGGAGTCCGTGCTGTTTCATATGGGAATCTCCTCTTAAGAGAGAGGTTAGATTGTGGATCTCTCCCCTGACTTGTGGGCAAATCACCTCCAGGTCTATCTCAGCCTCACACAGCATTATCCCTGCTCCTGTGGGCAGCCTCACTTTTTTGACATGATTACAATGCTTGTTTAAACACAGAAATAATTTAAGGAAGGTGATTGTTGTATTTTAGATGTTTTTGTGTGTGCTTTCACACCTGGAATTGGTGGGACAGCAGCAAATGCTCTATGAACTGCTGATGGCCCAAAGAGCAATGTCAGGGTTATCTTATCCATGCATGGAGTGAGAGAGCCCTGCTGCTGTTTCGTGCTCTGATTTCACCTGTAAGCAGAGAAGCAGCTGGGGAGTTCCCTCCAGCAGTTTCCAGGGAGGTTTGGAGCTGTGCAACAAACTTTCCCTCTTCAGTTCCCTTTCATTTGTGTTGTGTGGGATGGAAAAGAGAAGAACAGCCAAAATGTATTTAAGCAAGTTACTGTGCTCTGATACTCAACAGGTCATTTAAAAAGTAGCTCAGCATCCAGTTTTCACTGAATTCCAAGGAGATTTGGTTATTTACACCTTTTTGGAAGCTTATTTTAAATAGCAAATGCTTGAAAACATCCCAGATTATGGGGAAATTCAATCACAAATACACCCCAGGGCATCCTGGCCTTGAATAAGGTGAATGCCAGAAGTCCTACGGGTTGTATAGGGAGGAGAGTGGAGCCCTGCCTGGTTCTTTGCTTTCAGGATAATTCTTCACAGTCCAAAATCTGACAGCTACGAGGGTGCCACATCCAATCATGAAATAGGTGACCCTTCTTTTAATGGCTTAGGCTGATCCAGGACAGCGCAGGAGTTGTCCTGTTGGAAGTAAATCAAAGGCAAAATCATTTCCAGGCTCCCCGATACAAACCTGACAGCAGATCCAGGGGGAGATGCTCCCCAGCCCTGATGTTATCCAGTTTGATGCTGCCCTTCAGCAGCTCTTCCACTGACAGCACTTGAGCATTTGCTCCCCTTTTTGTTTTCCTGCTAGTGGATGGTGAAGACTTTGGAGAAGGAGATCAGTTACCTGAAGCGGGAGCTGGCCATGCATGACAGCTTGGTAAGGAACAGGCTAAGCTGCCTTAAAGAGCATCTTGTTTTCGGAAGATTTTTTATTATTGTGAGCTTTGTTGAGCAGTAAGATCAGTGCCCACCGTGCTTGTGCTCTCTGCTTTCAGCACAGTCTCTCCAAGATGGGCCAAAGCTCTCAAAATCTCTTGCTTTTGAGATTGTTTTAGCCTCAGGCCCCCTGAGAAAAGACTCACGAAGCCCTTCCCTCATATGATGGGAAAGTGGAAAGGAGGAACCGTTTTCAGCACGGCCCTGAGTCCTGCGTCCTGCCAACTCGGGTGATGAGAAGCCACACTCAGAAATTAAGCATGAGGCTTCCATGGACCCACTAGAGAAATATCAGGCATTCACCCAGAGATTTTTATAATTCACTCATATTCAATTTTCACTTTTTTTTTTCTTTTCCCCCTAGGTCAATCGCTCTTTGGTGACTTATGACCCTCTGACTGAAATCCAGATAGCAGATATTAAGTCTCAAGTGCTAAAATACCTCGAAGGATCCATTGATGAAATTGATGTAAGTAGCTTCTTTAGTAGAGAATGATTTATATGCTGATTTTGTCCCGTTTTGTTCCACGTCAGAAGGAATAAAGATATCTTCTGAAGAAGCTGTTTTAACCTGAAAGATATTGAAGGTTTTTGTTTGTTTTTCACTTGTTAAGGAGACAGTCTCTCCTGGATTTCATCCCATTTTTGCCTTTTGGAAGTTTAAGGGGACTTTTCCTCTGACTTTAACCTCCCTGGGGTTCTTTCTTTGGAGTCTCTTTAACTATTTTGCTTTGCCAATGTGAAAGCAGATCTTTGTAAGCTGTGCTCCCAAAGCATCCCTCAAAACACGTTGTAGAGAAATGCACTGGGGTTTCTCAACTGGAAACTGCCTGTTCATGGCAAAATGGTTGTAAAAAGAAATAGCAAAAGTCCCTCGTGTACAAACATTCCTTTGTGGGCAAGCAGGCAAGCAAAGAAAATGAAAGAAAATTAAACAAATGAGCACAATTAGATAACCCTAAGGAAAGAAACAAAAAGAAACCCTGCTGGAGACCCTGCCTCTCATTTCATGTTCTCCCCACGCTTCTCCTGAAGGCCCCGTGTGCCCCCTCCAGCAGGCAGGAGCAGGGCAGCATGAGGGTTTATGTGAATGTTTGTTTTCCCCGGGCTGCAAAATGTGCTGTGGGCAGCTCATGGGGAGCAGGCAGGCACCCGAGACCCTGGGGAACCCGAGTGCAGATTCCTGCTCGGCTGCAGCCCGCTGTGACTTGTCCGTGTGTCCGACCATCATCTCCAAACCAGGGGTAGCAGCAGGGCTGTATTCCCACGATTCGATTTCATGGGCAAGTGGACTGAGGACAGTGCCCTGGCAGCAGCGTGATAATCCACAAGGACAGCAGAGCCCATCCTATGTTGCTTGTAAAGGATTTCATATTGTAAATAATTCCCTATCTGGAGGCTGGGTGCTCCCTGGAATTCACCCCAATCTGAGAGGTTCCTCTCTCCTTAAACATCCCTTCAAAGTGACTTCCAGCGCCTCCAGCCTGACTTCCCAGCCTCTCCTCAAGCGTTGGGATCCTACTCTTGGGAAGCTCCTCTAGAAATGCCCGCCTGTTTCTTCACTATGTGCATCTCTTCCCCAGATAGTGAACATGAGGCAAGTCCAGGAGGTTTTCAGACAGTTCAAACAGCTCGTAAGGTAAGATAACCTACTGGTGTGCCCTTCTCCATAAGGTTTAGAAATTCCACCAAGCTTTTTTTCTGTGATACTGCACTTGCTGTGACGTTGGTATGAAATACAGGGAATAACTCGTGACTGAAAAATCAGTGGCTTTTCCCCGAGAGGACTATTATATTTAGCCTTCCAGTGCTCACAGATCATGTGCCAGGTCTGTTCGTGGTGTGACTCACTGATGTGCTCCGTAGAGGTATCAGCATGGAATATATCCTGGGCCTCAGGTACTTGGCCGTGGAGCGCGTGTCCGTTGTGCAACGCGTTCTAAAACACGTCTTTGGGAAAATAAAACTCTGTAGGATGAGATGATACGCAATGGTCTCGGTGCAGCAACTGCTAAATGTTAGGAAATGCTTTTTTTGTAGGGATTGTGGCAAAAGAAGGTCATAAAGGAATACGGAGGGGCATGGAAAGAAGGCTCCGTGGCTATTCCCAGGGAGCTCTCCCTGGTGTGTGCTGTGGGACGGGAGAAGTGGGAAAGTGCCATTAAGAAAACATCACCAGTGGATGATGAAAGTTGTTTCTTGAGCTTTTGAGGGAAGGTAAAGAGCAGGCGCAGAAAAATCCCAGGAATGAGGCCAAGCAGCTTCAATGTCATCAGAGAGCACAGAAGGGATTTATGGCAACCACCTGCCAACATTTTGACTTGGAAAATGTCCTTTGCAGCAGCCGTCTGGCCAGGCAGTAGAGGCTGCTGCTCCCAAGAATGATGCTGAGATATCACTGCAGAAAATCTGCCTGCCCCCACATCCAAAATAGGTTTCTTGGTTACTATCTTCACATTTTGCCTGATTTTTTTTTAACTTAGGACTCCCTTTATTGGGGTGAAACAGTGCATTATGGTCTTAATTTGCAGATTCCCTAACAATTTGCAGTCTTCTGTAGTGTACTTTTTAAGCCTATGGATACTGCTTCACGTGTTTTCTTTCAGTGAGGAAAAATATATAGTTTGAATCCTAATAGGTTAAAGATGAAATTGTTCTGTGGCAGAACTGAACAAATGTGATAGTAGTTGGTTTGGATGATTAAAGGTTATGTTAAGTATTTAAATAGCCATAAAAAGCTTCTGTATCCAAGATGCCAAAAGGATATCATGGAAAAAGAAAGGAAGAGGAAAATGAAAAAAGGCTAAAACAGGTATCATGAAGAATGCAGGAGACCACGTGGGATGCACGGAGGGGACATCACATGGAAAAGATGTTTTTCCTTGGAAATCTGGTGTGTTTACAGGTTTGGGCATGTGGAGTAGCCCTCCTCGAGCACAATACTGAGGGCCTTTTTCTCCCCTAGTCAACAGGAGCAGGAGGTGGAGGCCAGATTACGAAGCAAGTATGCGCTGATAGACAAAAACGACTTTGCTGCTATTGCTGCTGCTCAGAAGGTAACGCCTGGGGCTCCAGCCCCGGCCAAAACCCACCTCAGAATCCGCTGTGTCCATCTCGTGTCAGCAGAGAACGTGGCCCGCCATCTAAAGAGAATAATTTATTAAATGGGAATGAGGAAAACACAAATTAATATGAGAAAGTGACCTCTCTGTCAATCGGTTAATTGTAAAAGGCAAGGGCAGATCACCTTCCTCGATGGGGGTTCTCCTTCTAGTTTCTGGAGCAAAGAAAATGTGCCCTATGTAAAGCATAAAGTCACATATGGATCCATACCTGGTTTTTAATATATTTTTCTTTATCCACTTCAATATGTGAAATATTTTCTCTCTGAATTGGTCAGTATTTACCTCAGAATTGTTTCTCTGATATTAAATACAAGTTATACCCACCTTAAGTGGCTGACATGTTCAGCGTAGGAATCTCAGGGTAACTTTGGCCCTAGTTTTAATGTTTGATTCATTTTCATGGATGTGTCTCCCTGAAATGCCTGCTGGTGAGTACGGATCTCCGGAATAGATGGTACAACAGGGTGGAATTGGTGCTGGTGCTTCCCAGCTCATTGCTGCTGCTTCCCGTTTCCAGGCGGGCCTCGTTGACGTGGACGGCCATGTGCTGGGGGACATGGACGGGCAGGATTTGGGGACAGGAACTGCTCATTTTTCATCCAAACATGGTGGGAAGAAGATAAAGCCCAAGAAGACCAAAGAGCAGGGCAGGTGAGTCTTTATTTTCGGGTAGCGCCTCGTCACCCGCTCCGGTTGTGGCCAAGGCGTGAGGGCAGCCCGGGGAGGACGGCAGAACCGGAGCCGGCCTCGGAGGTGTATCCAAGCGTTGGGTTTCCTCAAGGATAGTTTCACATCCGTGGCATCCTCATGGCCACAAGAACGTGGCAGGGCAACACGTGCGGCAGCAGACACGGCCTGTGGCCAGAGAAGAACCCCGTGAAGAGGAATTTGGGGCACAAATGGTCAGTGTGGGTCCTGTTAGGGGTGAATCGAGGCTTTGGGCCTTGTGGGCTTGTGGCCCTGAGGGCAAGTGAACCCCGTCAGGGGGACAGTCCTGGGATAAACCCGGAGTTTTCCTTTCAACTCCGTAGGTAGGAAATGTGTTAGGGGGAAGGAAGGGGCAAGCGAGGAGGGGCAGTAGATAAGGAGTGGGGCTGAGAAGGGATCGTGAGGGGGAAGGACGAAGAATCGGTACAGCAAGGCCCAGAGCCTGGTCTCATTCCTTGGCAAGAGACGTTTGGCCCTAAACTTTGGCAGATGCAATGTCAGACTGCTGGTTTTTTAACCAACAAATGAGCACTTGAGTATAAATTGATCTGGTTCCTCTTGTTCACCCTGTCAGGAAGGAAGGAATCGGGACCTCTTCTTCTGGGAAAGAGATGGATGTTCTTCTGCAATCAAAAACTCAGGTGATAACTTCCACCAAGGATGTGGATGTGAAAGAGGGAGTGAGGAGCCAGGATGCAGCAAATATTGACACGCAGCCCTCGAAACTGGCTTCTCTGCGGGACTCCCAGCAGCTCAGGTAAGCCCAGGCAGGGGAGTGCAGAGGTGGATTTGGACCTGAGTGAGGCCATTGTGTCCCCCTAAAACCACCTGCTTCAAAGTGAAGCAGGAGAGACTTAGAGATCTTCACTGCAGACGTTTGTTGTAGGATAGCAGTGCTCATGTGGGCACCTTATGTGCCTAAGGATGCTGGTGGCACCTTCATCTGCTTCGTGCTCTGTCCTGGCCAGTCCTCTGTGTAAGGGGCCCTTTGGAGGTCAGTCAAGGAAATGCTGGAGGTCTCCACGCTGAGGAGCATGGAGACTTCTATAGCTGCCTTCTACCAGATCCCTGCATGCCAGCAGCATCCCCTGCACCACGCAGGGCAACCCATCAAAGTGGGACATTCCTGCCACGGTGCCGAGGGTCTCCCGGAAGCCCAGCTCCTTTTTCCATGGGTTTTGTGTAAAGTGAGGGGCACATCTGTGTGAAAGCCCTTTCCTAGAAAGCTCCAGACAAGGCAGGTCTGGAAGGGCACGGTAAAGGCAGGCAGCGGGGTTTGGTGGGCAGAGGTCACCGGTCTTGCTGGGAACACAGGAAAAGGCAAAAATATTTCTGTTTAGCAGCAGGCACAGCATTAATTTACCTTCCTGAAGAATCAGACCGATTTCCAGGAAAGGCTCAGAAGTTCTGAGGCATCTCCTAGGAAACTTGGTTTTGGTAGGAATAACTCTGGGGATAGTTTGGGGGAAAAAGGGGCATGAAGCTTGGCACAGAGACAGGGCCAGGACGCGGCCAGCATGGTGAGATCCTCAAAGATCCATTTAAAACCATGCACAAGCCTCAGCTGTGACCACGTTGTGCTGCCCGCTAGAGCAAACTGAGCTCCCCCACGTCTGTCTCCTTCTCTCCAGCTCCCCTCCTTCCAAGCCGGCGGCGTTCGAGCAGTTTAAGAAGGAATGTGGCAGTGAGATCAACCGGATCTTTAAAGAGAACAAGAGCATCCTCCTCGCCAGGAGGAAGAGGAGCGGAGCGGTCGCGCAGCGGCTCAACCTGATGAAGCAGGAGATGGAGGGCATCAAAGAGGCACTGGGGGCTCAGCGGCAGGAGCGGTGGCAGCAGGGTGAGTCGCGGGGAGGGAGGACACAGCTCTGCCCCCCGCCTCCTGCACCCTTCCCTCCTCCGGCTCCACGAGCCGCAGGCTGCTGCCCCCCGCGCTCTGCTGCATGGGGCAGGGGACAGATTGTCCCTCCTGCCATCCGAGGGGGCTCCTCGGGGTTTTACCTCTGCGTGTGACAGTGGGAAGTGCCAGTGGCGACGTTCCTTGGAGGCAGGAAGGGCAGAACAACCCAATTCTGTGCAACTTACAGCCTAAATTTTTTAACAGTGAGGGTGGCAGAGCCCTGGAACAGGCTGCCAAGAGAGGTTGTGGAGTCTCCTTCTCTGGAGATCTTCAAACCCGCTTGGACGCAGCCCTGTGCCACGTGCTCTGGGTGACCCTGCGTGTGCAGGGGTTGGACTGGGTGACCTCGAGAGGTCCCTTCCAACCTGCAGCATTCTGTGATTCTATGATTCTATAAATTATCTCCAGGCAACGAGCAAGGGGTGAGAGGGAACGAGGAGGTGAGCAGTGGAAAGCGAGCGGGCCCTGCCTGGCGGAGGGGACAGCTGTGTGACTGGGCCCGTGCAGATGCTCCTGCTCTGAGGTGCTTCCTGCTTCCTCGGCCATCCCCGTGGAGCCACCTCGGTGGCCTAAATGTGGCCCAAGTGTCAGTCTTGGAGCTGCGCCCCAGCGCGAACGCTGCTCTGCTGGGGGGTTTATTCCTCCTCCTATGGAGAGACTTTTGTGACCACCCTTTTTAAGGGGCCTCTTCCCACGGGATGCAGTCCTGCAAGGTGCACAGCTTGCAAAAAGGGATCTTCTCTCAGGATCGCTGCCTGCTCTGGGCCTCTGCTCTCTGTGATGACATCTCCCAACCGCTGGTTTCTTGTGGCTGCTGGAAACCAGAGCAATGAGAGGAAAAGCAGAGAACCAAGAACATGATGTTTAGCACAGGGGAGCAGCGCTGGCCTAATGGTCTCCCAGGGACTGACCAGGCTGTTTCAAAGACTTTCACCTTGATGGTGAGCGGGTTCAGGCACTCAGCAGTGATTTCTGCCCCACGTTACTGCAACCCCGTGTTTGTAGAAAGCCTGTCTAAGGAAATGGCAGCTGTGTGGTTAACCTCAGCATAACCGGGTAACTACCGTGCGGTTCGAAGCACCAGGACTGGTCTCCGGCCCTCTCCACCCTCACGAGAGACCTTTGCTTCCTCCTCTTCCCCTCCAGGAGAGTATGTTGATGAGACGGGACAGATCATCATCGACGAGGAGGAGTTTCTACTCATTATGAAGCTCAAGGACTTGAAGAAAGAATACAGGTCTGATTACGCGGAGCTTCAGGACCTGAAGGCAGAAATCCAGTATTGCCAGCAGCTCGTGGACCAGTGCCGGAACAAACTCGTCTCAGGTACTGGCTCACCAGGGTGCGTTCTAACAGGGTGCTTGAGGGCAGCTCAGCACTTTGGTGCTTCACAGACACGTGGCATCAAACCTCCACCATAAATCCCCGTCGTTCTCTGTTACGATTTTTTCTTGCTGTCTCCCGGCCCTTGATTTTGTTGTTGTTATTTCGACGTGATGCTGAAGTGCTGCAGGTTCTCTCCCAGGTAACGACGTCCTCGGTGCTTGAGGCTGGAAGGAACCTCTGGAGATCGCCCGGTCCAATCCCCCTGCTCAAGCACGTTGCCCGGGATTGTGTTTGTGTGGATTGTGAACGGCCCCAGAAATGGGGACATTCCTTTAAGTCAGGTTCTGCTGAAAACGCCCCGGTGGGAAGGAGGGTTTGGCCGTTTTAGCAGGTTTTTTGGGAGCCTCACGCTCGTGGTGCTGGGTCACCCCGTGCATCCATCACATGCCACGCAGAGCGTGGGTAGCAGGGATGTGGTCCTGGCATTTCCCTGGATTTGTCCTGTACCCTGGAACACTGTAGCTGTACAAATCCCAGAGTCCCAAGCACTCAAATGCTGTACACGTGGCAGCACTTTATTTTCCAAACTTGCCAAAGCACAACTTGCATCCATGAGGCCGGTCCCATGCTGCTGGAAGTCCACGATTCATCCCAGGATTCATTCCGGCTCCACAGGTGCAAATCCTAATTCTGCTGAAACTTTGCCATGAGTTTCAGCTGGATCCAGGTTTGGCATTTTTGGGTGCTCCAGATGTTTCCCAATTGCTTAAACACCCTCAGGAACATCCGTGTCATCCCAGGATGCACAAGCCATGGCCGAGGCCACCTCTTGGAGTCATTCCTGGGAAATGCTGCCTTCCCGGCGGGGTTTGGGCTCCAGGGCCATAGGGAAGCGTGCCAGCGGGACGGCAGCAGCTTTTCCTGGGAAATTCCTGCTTTTTTTTTACTCCCTGCTGTTAATCTCCACATTCCCGTGGCGCCCGCTCTGTGTTAGCACTGGCTATTATGGGATGCAGAGTGGCTTCTCCCATGGTATTTGCAGCTGAAATCTGTCCCCAAACTGCCGATGGCTCCGAGCTGCTGCCTCTGAGCAGAGGCCGGGGCATCCCTGGATGCAGGAGCAGTGCCACCTCGTGGCCTGGGGACTGTCCCCAGGGCCAGGCCTGCTCCCCGGCCACCTCCCGGGCAGCAAGGCCACGCTGCAGCTCCAGGAACTCCTCGGATAGTCCGTTGGCGATCCGCAAGGAGCCGGCAGAAATCCCCCCCTGGCCTCTGACGGCTCCGCTTTGCTTGCAGAGTTTGAGATCTGGTACAACGAGGCCTTCCTCATCCCCAAGGACGTGCAGGACACGCTGAAGCCCGGTGGCAGCATCCGACCTGGAATGATTCCCATAAACAGAGTGCTGTGCCTGGTGAGTTGTCCCGGCGGCTCTGCTTGTTCTCCTTGGTAGCCACACGTTGCGTGGTGACGAGGGCACGACTCAGGGGACGAGGAGGAGGGCACGGCAGCTCTGCCCCCTCTAAACGCAGCAGCTGGCATTAAAATGCCACCCGATACGACGCAGACAGGGCAACTATGTGGAGATGCATCTTGCTTTCACGTTAGCTTTACCACCAAGAGGCTAAAATCGACCACAAGGACAGGGCAGGGCTGGGACACTCGGGCCATCTGTAGTGTTTACAACTCGACTATTGTGTTTCATGTTGTGGCAACTGGGGCTTGGCCAGCCCTTGGCTTAGAAACGATCACTTTGGGCTATCCAGGATCCACCGCTGCCAGGTTCTTTTAAACCTCTTATTCACCAGACTTGTTCTTTGCGTTATTCTCCCCCAAAGTCACTCTGGGTTTTGTCCTTTACTGTTAAACATCAGTCCCAAAATCTTAATGCCACTAGATAGGGACATGGGGCCAGCGCCTCACATTTGGGTCCCATTTCTAACTTGTGGGGAGGGATAGGAAAGCTGGAAAGGGATTTGTCTCCAGGCGCCTGCTTATTTTGACTCAGGGCTAAGCATTTTCTTTCTTCCTCTCTAGAAAGATATGGAAAGAGCTTTAAGGCTGATCCTAGAAAGGTTCTTCCCTCTTCTCCGGAATTAGCTGCTCTGAGAGTATAAGTAACAGATATTAGGGGAGAAAAAATGTAGCAGCTTGGCTTTTAAACAATGTTTTGATGTAGGGGACTGTGAAACAAAGAAACAAAGTCCATACAGGAAAGAGGAGGAGGAAAAGGAGGAACAGGCAGCCTTTGGGTAACGTGGTGGCCCAACCAAGTCAACAGGCAAAGTCTGAGCGAGTGCCCAGGCCCCGGGTGTCACCCTTTGGGGACGGAGGGAAATCTGTCACTGGCCACTTGGACCAAACCAAGTTCCTGTATTCATAGAAATGGTTTCCAGCCTCGGATTTCTTGTCGTTGCCTCAATTATAGCCTGAGAGATGAGTGAAAGGCGCCTGCTAGCGCTGCCGCCTCGAGCCGGAGATGGTCCCGGGAGGAATCCCGCGGCAGGGGGTGATCCCTGCCCTGCTGTGCCGGGAGCATCCCGCGCTCACCGCGGCTCCCTGCCCTTCCTGCTGCAGGAGCAGGACGTGCAGGACGGCTTCGAGCGCATGCAGGAGGCCGCGCTGCCCGCCTGCCCCGACTCGCTCTCCTTCTACAACGCCAAGATGAGGGCCGAGCAGAAGGTAAGGGACCTTCTCCCTCGCCCCGCTGCGGGGCCCTGGGCTCCTCTGGCCCCTGGCGCTCTGGGCCAGGGCGTTTTGCGGGATTCTGGGCTCATCTCGCAGCACAGGGAGGCTCTTTGAGCCGCGGTTCCCCTCTACGTTTAAAATTAGGCCCTCCTTAAGGCACAAAATAAGAGCGCGAGGGCCAAGCAGGCTAGTGCAGGGCCAACTTATAAATCAGGCCTTTCAGAAATCCCGCTGGCTCCGGGCGCTGCCCGACCTCCGAGGAAAAAGCGGAATTTTCTGAGTGACAGGGGCGGATTGTGCGCGGCCGCGGCGGGGACGCTCACGGCCCCGTTTCTGCTCGCAGCACACGTACGCCCGAGCCATGGGCTCCCTGGAGCAGATGCGCAGGAAGCCCGGCCTCATCACGGCCACCATGAGGGGCAAATCCCCGGCGTCGCCGCGCGGCACGTAGCGGCCACGGGCTCGGCCCGCCTCGGCGAGCGGGCGTTTTCCCTTTCCGCGGTGGATTTATCAAAAATAAACAGCCGTGGAAACGAAACCGGGCTTTGGTGCTGTGTCGGTCCATGGGGGAGCCCCCTCCGGCGCGGCACAGCCCCTGCAGGGGAGCGGGTCGGCGTTTCCCGGCATTTCCCGGGAATGCGGCTTGGAGCAAAACTCGGGTGAGCATGGACGGCCTTTCCTCAAACCTGCCACGCAGCCCAAACCACGAGGGGCATCTCATGATGCTCCCGAAGCTCCATTTCAGCCTCCTGCCCGGGAAAAGTCTCCTGGCGAAGGGATTCGAGCCATCCCACCTCTCCCTCTCCTCATCCCGAGGCTCAGGTGCAGCTCCCACTTTCCCTGCTGCCCACGGCGGTCTCTGCACCCTCAGCATCAATTCAACGAGTCCCAGATCTGGAGAAAAAAATAAAATATTTTAAAAAATTATCTCTCTGTCTATATTTTAACCCCACAGATGTCATTTTAGGGCTTTGGGTGACTTCCCATTTGCCTTGCCCAGAGCCCTGCCCAAAGGCAGATCGGCTGTAGAAACTTCTTCAAGTTTCTTACTGTGTTAGTCTTCATTTTTTTTTCTCCTTGTGCTTCTCGAATTTAGCGATATCCAAAGAATTGCAAAGTATCAGTCTGGAGCTCCAGAATGTGGAGCTGAGTCTCAGGGTGCTCCAGGTGCTGGTAAATTTGTGCAACTCCGTAAGATTTAAGGAGTTGGTGGTCATCTTGGTCACCGTTAGCTTGAATTACGCAACACAAATCACTGTTTAAAGAGCAAAGATGGGGTTATTTTAGTGCTCTTTGGGTACCCAGGAGGGTGTTGGTCCTGGTGTCCCATGGGTGGTGCCCAGTGGGGGTCCTGGTGCCCCATGGGTGGTGCCCAATGGGGTCTTGAGGGTGTTGAGGTCCTGGTGTCCCATGGGTGGTGCCCAATGGGGTCTTTAGGGTGCTGAGGTCCAGTGGGATTCCTGGGGGTGCTGAGGTCCTGGTGTCCCAAGGGTGGTGCCCATCGGGGGTCTCCGGGGTGCTGAGGTCCCAGGGCCTGGTTCGGGGGGGAAGGTCTCAATGTTGGGTGCCCCATGGGGATCCTAAGGGACGTTGGTGTCCTGGTGTGAGGCAGGGGGTGTCCTGGGGTGCCGATAGGAAATCCTGACTGGTGGGGTGGAAATCACAGTGTCCCAGTCCCTGGCTTGGGGGAATTTGAGGGGATCCTGCTCCAGGTGTTCCCGTCTCCAGGAGGGGGCATCCCGGAGGGTTTTCCCAATGTCCCCATCCCTCTTGTGGGGGGGTTTTGAGGGCAGGTCCCAGTGTCCTGGTCCCCAGGAGGGTCTGTGGAAGTGGGATCCCGATGTCCCGGTCCCCAGTGAGGGCGGGGGGACATCCTGAGGAGGGGCCTGGTCCCTCCCAAATGTTGAGGCCAGGGTCCTGATATCCTATAAGTGGATTTCGGGAGGGGCTCCCGGTCCTGGATGTGGGTTGGATTTTGGAAGGTCCCACTGCCGGGTGGATTTTGGAAGGGGGTCCCTCTGTCTCGGTGCTTGTGAAGGGATTTCGGGAGGGTCCCGGTGTCCCGGGTGGAGGGAAACGGTGTCCCGTGGGGTGTCCCGGAAGGGTCCCGGTATCCCAGGGGAGGGAGGGGGGTCCCAATGCCAGGTTTTTGGAGGGTCCTGCTGTCCCGGGGGGATCCTGGTGTCCCAAGGGGGTGTCCCGGTGTCTTGGGAGGGTCCCAGGATTCTGGGGGGGTCGGTCCCAGTAGGGTGTCCTGCAGGGGGGCGTCTCAGGAGGATCCCGGTATCCAGCAGGGGAGGGTGTCCCGGGAAGGGAGTCTCATGTGTCGGGGGGTCCCCAGGAGAGTCCCAGTGTCCGGGGGGGTCCCAGTGTCCCGAAGGGGTCCTGGTGTCCTGGAAAGAGGGTCTTGCTGTCCCGGGGGGGTGCTGGTGTCCCGGAGGAGTCGCAGGGGGTCCCGGTGTCTCGTAGGAGTCCCGGGAGGATCCCGGTGTCCTGGAGGGGTCCCGGTGTCCCGCAGGGGAATCCCGGTGTCCTGGAGGGGTCCCGGTGTCCCGCAGGGGAATCCCGGTGTCTCGTAGGAGTCCCGGGAGGGTCATCGTATCCCACAGGGGATCCCGGTGTCCCGGGAGAGTCCCGGTGTCCTAGTGTCTTGTAGGAGTCCCAGGAAGGTCCCGGTGTCCCGGGAGGGTACCGGCGTCCCGGGAGGGTCCCCGTGTCCCGCAGGGGGATCTCGGTGTCCCGGGAGGGTCCCGGTGCCCCGGTGTCTCGTAGGAGTCCCGGGAGGATCCCGGTGTCCCGGAGGGGTCCTGCTTTCCCTCAGGGGTCCCGGGAGGGTCATCGTGTCCCGCAGGGGGTCCCGGTGTGCCAGGAGAGTCCTGGTGTCCTAGTGTCTTGTAGGAGTCCCGGGAGGGTCCCAGCGTCCCGGGAAGGCCCCCGTGTCCCGCAGGGGATCCCGGTGTCCCGGAGGGATCCCGGAAGGGTCATCGTGTCCCGCAGGGGATCCCGGTGCCCCGGGAGGGCCCTGGTGTCTCTCAGGGATCCCGGGAGGGTCCCGATGTCCCGCAGGGGGTCCCGGTGTCTCATAGGAGTCCCGGGGGGGTCATCGTGTCCCGCAGGGGGTCCCGGTGTCTTGTAGGAGTCCCGGGGGGGTCATCGTGTCCCGCAGGGGATCTCGGCGTCCCGGGAGAGCACCGGTGTCCTAGTGTCTCGTAGGAGTCCCGGAGTGGGGGGTCCCGCTGTCCCGGGAAGGTCCCCGTGGCCCGCAGGGGGATCCCGGTGTCCCAGGAGGGTCCCGGAGTCTCTCAGGGGGTCCCGGTGTCTGGTAGGAGTCCCGGGGGGGTCATCGTGTCCCGCAGGGGATCTCGGCGTCCCGGGAGAGCACCGGTGTCCTAGTGTCTCGTAGGAGTCCCGGAGTGGGGGGTCCCGCTGTCCCGGGAAGGTCCCCGTGGCCCGCAGGGGGATCCCGGTGTCCCAGGAGGGTCCCGGAGTCTCTCAGGGGGTCCCGGTGTCTGGTAGGAGTCCCGGGGGGGTCATCGTGTCCCGCAGGGGATCTCGGCGTCCCGGGAGAGCACCGGTGTCCTAGTGTCTCGTAGGAGTCCCGGAGTGGGGGGTCCCGCTGTCCCGGGAAGGTCCCCGTGTCCCGCAGGGGGATCCCGGGGTCCCAGGAGGGTCCCGGTGTCTCTCAGGGGGTCCCGGTGTCTTGTAGGAGTCCCGGGGGGGTCATCGTGTCCCGCAGGGGATCTCGGTGTCCCGGGAGAGCACCGGTGTCCTAGTGTCTCGTAGGAGTCCCGGGAAGGTCCCGGTGTCCCGGGAGGGTCCCCGTGTCCCGCAGGGGGATTCCGGCGTCCCGGGAGGGTCCCGGTGCCCCGGTGTCTTGTAGGAGTCCCGGGAGGATCCCGGTGTCCCGGAGGGGTCCCGGTGTCTCTCAGGGGTCCCAGGAGGGCCCCAGTGTCCCGGAAGGGCCTCGATGTCTCGTAGGAGTCCCGGGAGGATCCCAGCGTCCCGGGAAGGTCCCCGTGTCCCGCAGGGGGATCCCGGTGTCCCAGGAGGGTCCCGGTGTCTCGTAGGAGTCCCGGGAGGGTCATCGTGTCCCGCGGGGGATCCCGGTGCCCCGGGAGGGCCCTGCTGTCTCTCAGGGATCCCGGGAGGGTCCCGATGTCCCGCAGGGGGTCCCGGTGTCTCATAGGAGTCCCGGGGGGGTCCCGATGTCCCGGGAGGGTCCCGGCGTCCCGGGAAGGTCCCCGAGTCCCGCAGGGGGATCCCGGTGTCCCAGGAGGGTCCCGGTGTCTCTCAGGGGGTCCCGGTGTCTTGTAGGAGTCCCGGGGGGGTCATCGTGTCCCGCAGGGGATCTCGGTGTCCCGGGAGAGCACCGGTGTCCTAGTGTCTCGTAGGAGTCCCGGGAAGGTCCCGGTGTCCCGGGAGGGTCCCCGTGTCCCGCAGGGGGATTCCGG